GGGGCATATGAAAACGGTGGTATGATAGTGTTATCCCCTTCAATGCATCCAATAGCCCATTTTACCCCTCTATGGTCGCTGAAATTCAGAAAGCAGGGCCTAGGGTGAAGCCTCCTACAACATATGAACTTAGTGGGGAAATCTTGGATGCATAGGTAGAAGATACTAAGAAATGGATTGCAGATCTTAAGGATAGTTGGCCAAGAACGGGCATCACCATCATGAGTGGCGGTTGGTGGGATAAAGTCAATCAGAAAGACTACATAAACTTTCTGGTTTGTTGCTCATATAGTGCGAACTTCTTGTTCAGTAGTGATGTCTTTGGGGTGACGAAGGAAGCAAAGTTCATTGCACAACGATTGGACCAGATATTTGAGGATGTGCGAGAGAAACATGCGGTCCAGGTTGTTACAAATAACGTCATGGTTTATGATTTAGCAGGGTCAAAATTGAAGAAAAAAAAGAAACATTTGTTATGGACCCCGTGTGTGGCCAATGCATTGATAACATATTGGAGGAGATTGGTAGGCTCAACAATGTGAGGGAGACTCTCACATCGGTAAGGTCAATCACAAAATATATCTACAACCGCTATAGGATCTTTTATTGGATGAGATAGTATACTGGCATGTAGTTAATCAAGACCACTATTGCCCACTTTGTGATGGACTACCTGACCATGAACTTTATTGTACAATCGCAAGCCGCATTGAAGATGATGTTCTCCAATGAGAAGTGGACAAAGGACAAACTTGCAATGTCCCATTAGGGATGAAATGTTGAGGCCCCGATAAGATATTATGAACCAGGTGTTCCCACATCGATTTCGTAAGTACTCATTTAGTAACACTATTAAGAATGGTGGATGGTGATAAGAAATCCACCATAAGGATCCTCTATAAAGGGATAGAGAAGGAGAATATATTTATTAAGGATAAGTGCAGTTTTGGTTGTGCAGTGGTAGATATCATAGAAAGAATGTGAAAAATCAACTAGGTCACCCGATCCACTATGCAAGTGAAACGTCTACTTATATGCTTAGAAATTTTAGATTAAAATTTTTCATCGATGTCAATTTAAATGGTTTCTCCATCTTTATATTGTATAGGTTTCTACTTCAACCCCAACTGTTTCTATGTAATGCCTATTATTTATGATGATGAGATGGTGAAATATATTATTGAGAGATTGGAGAGGAACCATCGATCCCAATTAGTGGCACTGAGTGATGTAACATTTAACAGTTGTTGTAGCCTATAAAAATTCCATTAAGTTGATGCACCTGATGCATAATTAAGGCATTAAAGTATAATGTCTTTTGCAGATGTCTATGTATAGGGATGGAAAAGGCTCGTTTACAAGAAGACTTGCCATGGCTTCTTAAAGTATGATATATCCAAGTAATCTAGTATGCAAATATTTTTTTTTTAACACCATTATCTTTATGAAATATTTCACCTCTATCTTACAACGTATTTTACATATTATTTCAGATGAATGGTGGGAGTGTCATGGTGGAGACACACCTCACTTAAAGAGGATAGCAATCAAGGTGCTCTCCTAAACATGTTCAACTACTAGATGTGAGCGGAATTGGGGTACATTCCAATAGATACACACCTCAAGAAGAAATCAGCTGACCTCCAATAGGCTTAATAAGCTCGTCTTTGTTCATTACACTTCAAAGCTCTGACAACAACATATACAAAGAAGATTGAAAATTACATCTCAATCGACTTGGATGCAATATTTATCGCAGATACAGTCGAACTGTGGTTGGTGGAGGAAGAGCCTCGAGTGCTAGGCAAGAGAACATTTCTCGATGCAATCGGTGAGGACTGTGAACAATAAAATGTTGATGAGTAGAGAGGAGGAGGGGGAGTAGAAGCAAGTTCCCCACGGATATTTGACCAATTTGTTGGAGAAGTAGGAGGTCCTACGCATGTTGAAAGGGAGAGGGAAGGGGGTATAAAGGAAACGAGAGAGATTATGATTTTGAGACAACCCTACCTCAACCAGGACATACGCAACCCTAGATCCACTAGCACATGGTGGTGGTGAGCAAGAGAGTCCGGGCTATCATGAGGGTTGAACAAACTTTGGGGACTTTGGGCAAGGACAACAACAGTTCTCCAATCGTGAGGGATAAGTGTGTAGTTATATCAGCACCGAGGATTATGAGGTATACATGAATCGACTCAACAAATGGTTGAGAGAATTCAATCAAATGCATCAGCACGATGGCAACGAAGAAGAAAACCACTTTTTGTTTGTATTTTGGTTGTTGTATGCTTCATTTTGGACTTTGTATTTATATCCTTATTAATTATAGGCTCTTTTTTTCGATGCTATGAATGAATTGTTAACATACATCTAGACATGAAAATAACGTCTTAGTATTCACCTATTTTTACAAAGTAATGAAATTACATAATGCGTCACTCCTAATTTCTTTTAGAAACTAAAAGAACGCTATTTTTAGAGATTTATAGCGATTTTTTGAAAAATATTTGGGACAAAATTTGCCGATTTGGCCAGTTCTCCAATTTGACATGCCGATCCACCGATCCGACATAGGTTTTGGGGAGACCAATCCGGATCACCGATCCTTTTTTTTAAACCTTGCAAAGAACGTTCAGTAATTGTTTGCCCTCATTCTAAACCCTCCTTTCCCTAAGACTAGAATTCACCTTTGGCGTATTTTGATTGCTGCCATGCTTTGGTCCCTTTGGAAAGAGAGGAACTCTAGAGTCTTTGAGGGGATCTCATGAGAATCCTCAGATATCTCTCGAGGGGTTTGAGGTTAGTGGGCCCATACTTTCTTAATCTTGAAGAATTACCCTAAAGAATTTTTGTCCACTAATTTTCTCGATCTTCTTAACGTTCTGTTGAAGAAAGTTGTTAAATCAGTGGAGTAGATGGTTTAAGGTGAATTTTGATGGAAGTGTTCGCTTAGAAACTCAAAGAGCAAGCTTTGGTGGCCTTCGTAGGGATGCTCAAAAGAATGTTATCTTCACCTACCATAGCCAGCTTAATTTATCTGATATTAATAAGGTAGAACTAAAGGTAGTTAAGGAAGGATCATGTCCGCATTATCGAGGGTGACTCAGCTAATGTTGTCAACTGGTACAACCATATATAACAAAAGTTTACATAAAACTTATTATTCTATTTTTCTTAGATTGAGTTCTTTAGATTAACACGTTTTGTTTTGATCATCAGTTCTATCTTTTTGCTGAATATCTTCATCAAAATTTAATCAATTGACTTGGTGCAAAAAATAAAAAAAGAAATTATTGAAGTCATTAATTTTCATAACTCTTTGCCCTTCAAGGAGGCCAAATGATGTAACACTAAGCTAATCATTGAACTTAGTGGAATATAATCTTTTTCTTCTTGCTTAGTACTTAAGTATGCCTCGTTTAAGGTTTTGGGTCACTGGCATCTCATATTTCTTTTCAGTTTCCCCAAAACAAAACACTCAATCCAAAAGTGCTTTTGGAGTTAAATCATTAGGATCTCGATAGAAAAGCATGCACATAATCAAACGAAAAAATTTATATGAGGTTGCAACTTTAAAATGTAGAATTAAAGATGCACTTCATAAATCCATCGGAAAATGTTGTTTTAATGTTGAAAAACCTTCTAATTGATCATCTCGACATCGAGATGTATGAATATGAAAAGAAAAAAGATTTTGAGTCTGAGAATTTTCAAGATTTCATATATTTATAAATCTACTTGATTTTAAACATTTTTGAAGTTTACAATTTTATAATTAGATATAAAAATATATTTTCAAATAATCCTAAAAATATTTTACACCAAAAACACATGTTATGATAAAATTTAAAGGTGCGCCTTAATTGGATTGTTTAAAGTTGCAACCTTATAGAAACCACACCCTAATCAAATGGCGTTTAACACTTCAAAAAGGTTGCAACTACCACCACCTCCTCATCAACCTAAAAGTGCATCCTTCTATAATAGATGGATTTGCTTGGAACTTTATACAGAGAGATCATCAAAGGGTGCGGTTGGTATAGAGCCAAGGCTTTAAACAAACGCACATTCAAATAGTGTCAAGAAATGTAGTTTCAATACTGAAAATATTTTTACATTGTCAAAAAAAAAAAAATACTAGAAATCTTTTTGATAACCTTAAAATATATTTTCATCTCTACTTATAAATTTTAAAGCTTAAAAAATAATGTAGATCAAGAGGATTTATAAAAACTTCAAAATCATGATAATGGATGGTCCAAAAATGAAATACAAGATGTACTATTTTTAAAACTTGAAATCCATTTTTCTCACATCTTGAGATCCAAATGATCAATTTGAAGATATTTAGATATCAAAACAACCTCTTCCAGTGAAATGTTTGAGATGCACCCTAATTTGATCGTTTAGAGCCTTCTATATAAACTTTTTCCATCATGGTAATCTCTTGAAACCCTACAGAGAGCAGTGTTTTAAAACCCAACGGTCATCAAAATCTACTGATTGTATGGGTCCATAACTCATCGAGTCAATAAAGTGATTTACATACGGACTTTAAAGTTTTTTTTAAAATATAAAATACTCTATTTATAAATTAAAAATACAATGAAGGCTGGTCAACCAATTTTTTTTCAAAATTACCTCACTCCAAAACCGAATTTTAAATTATTTTTTATTTTTTTTCGCTAGTAAAGCATTACCCTAAATCTTAAAGCACTACCCTACTAACGAAAAAATTAAAAAATAAAATTCAAATCAAAGATTCCATCATCAGACCGAAAGGTTATTTTGAAAAATAAAAGCAAATTGACATTTGTTATTTCAAGAAATATTTTAAGGTCAGTTTATAAAATTACTCATTTTATAATTTTTTGAATTTTTTTCTTCTTAAATTCTTTTAATTTCTTTTGGTATTAGGCGTTAAGGATCCGTGTTTTTAAACATTGATTTAGAGATATTAAATAGAGATAAAGAGGTGGAGAGAGCTCTTAGGGGGCCAAGTGGAATATTTATAGTTAAGATATTTCTTTCTTACAAGATCAAGCACAATATCTTAATCCAACATCACTACAACCTAAGGACATCTCCATCACCACCAAAACCACATATACATACACACGCAACCCCATATCCCTCCCTTTCCTCTGAGTAAAAGGCATAACCCCTGATTGCCCTGTACACAAACCCCCATCCCACCGTACACGTCTCCTGCTCACCATACACAGCACCCCACTGTACACCACCACCCTCATCTAAAAGCCACACTTTTTCTTTTTCTTTATGCCTTTTTAAGAGGAAAAAGGTTAACCTTTTCCTCATCACCGACTCACCCAAAAGGAACCCTGTTCCTTATCATTGCTTTACAAACCAAGGGCCTTTTCATCTCCATTGAGAGCTTCAACCTCTCTCTTAAATCAATAAGACCTTTCTCTCTCTTGTTTGAAGTAACATGAGGAAGCCACTGATAATGGTGCAACAATCGAGCGAGCCAAAGGTGGCAAGTGGCCAGGCCCATGCTCTTACCTGGACACACGCGTCTACCTGACCCGAAAGGCGCTAGTCGTAGATCCGAGCCCATGATAGAGATGGGCTCACGGTCGAACCTTTCTGGATCAAAGACCAATGGGTCGGGCCATATGTTAGGGTCGTGGGCTATAGCCCACATGTTGACCATGGCCGTGGTGCCTTTTGGGATGTAGGATTTGGACACATGTACGTCCTGGATGGAGAGGCGGGCCCAGGAAAGGAGAGGGCCCGGTGGGTGGAGCCTTAGGGTTTCTTTTAGGATGGAGAGCAGGTAGGGGAGATTAGGGAGGTCAGCGTCGGCGACGTGGCGAGTCAGGCCCACTACACGGTCCAGCTCAGCTTGGGCCCGGGCTTGAATGGCAGGGTGGAGGACCAAGCGGGCCATGGCCCACTCCATAAGAATGGCCACGGTGTCGGTGCCTCGAAATATTAGCTCCTGCAATGGGAGAGAGAGAGTTAGTGATTTAAATTTAAAAAACAAAACAAATTTTAAATTTTTTTATATATTATATTACTGCAAAACAATTTATTTATTTATTTATTAAAAACTCTTAGATTTGTATAAAATATATTACACTGTTTATAATATCACTATAATTTATATATATATATATATAACTTGACATTACAAACTTCTTCCAAACTCCTCCTGCTATCTGGTAGGTGGGAGAAGGGCAGTTTCTGGGATGAGAGAGAAGGGGGGAGTGTGTGTGGGGGGAGTGTGTGTGTTCGTTAATGGGTTTAGATTGGAGGTCGATTGAGTTGATGTTTCGAAACAGGGAAACCATGAGTTTCAACCACTCAGACAGTTCTCTCTTTCTATTTAAACTGCTCTTGGATGGGGAACTAGAACCTGTAGAAATTAATTAAATATTTTTCCCTCGTTCTCTCAAAGACTAATAAAATCCATCAGAAACTAAAATCAATGACATGCATAGAAATGAATCATCTCTCTCTCTTAGTGGTTGCAGCAATTAAAATTCAAAGTGAAATCAACTGAAAATCATTCCAAAGTAAAAACACTCATACTGATTTCGCTCATCTCTGACCCTAAATAATTTTTAAAAAAAAGCTTTGATTGTGATGATTAAACGGTTTGAAAAAAAAGCTCGGATGATGATGATAATTTCAGGCTCTTTAATTCAGGTGGAGGAAAAAGCCACGATAGTTATCTAGTTTTCAATTTTTAATAAGTGGGCATATCACTACAATTTTAATGGCTTAGAGAGAGAATTGGTAAAAGTTGAGAGCAGTGGAGTGATTCGGGAAGTTTCACTGAACCTGTAAGGAAGAGAGAGAAAGTTCAAGGGTCGTTTTTAAGGACAAGCATGCAGAGAGCTAAAGATAGAGAGAGAAAAAGAGCATAGGCATGTTCTTTTGCGGGGTGTTATTGTCTTTTTCGAAATTATCCAGCGTTTGCGAATCTCTGTCGGCTCTATACCATCTGACCCAATCACTGCTTAAAGCCCTCGTAGTTTTCTAAAGTCACCTTGAACCACAAAAATGTATCAGAATTACCCCTATAACATATAAAATAAGATCAAAATTTTGTACGGACCATAAATTTTGTTTTAAAATACGAAATGCTTTATAAATTGGAAATTATAACGGGGCTAGTCAATTTTTTTTTTTTCAAATTATCTCTCGGTACAAATATATCCTCAAACAGATTTTTTAATTTATTTTTAGTTTTTTGATACTAGCCTAAAGCTCGAGGCATTGTCCTATTAATGAAAAAACCAAAAAGTATAATAAAATTTGAATCAAAGATTCTATTTTTAAACTGAAGGGTATTTTTAATTAAAAAAATTGGTTGATCCATTTTTTTTTTGTAATTTATACCTATAAATAAAATGTTTTATATTTACAAAAAAAATTAAATGCGTAAATCACTCTATAAAGTCCCCCTCATCATAACTGGCACGTCAACTCAATTCATCAAGGACACCAATTACAACCTTTTCTTCAGCCAACACTTGTATGTTTTCATACAAGTCATATTTTACACGCCCACTTGTGACGTGGGTACAGCCATGGACAAGCAAACCGATGAAACAAGATCTATAATGCAGATCTTGAATAGTTAGAATACGACTAAGATGAAACAAGATCTATAGTGTAGATTTTAAATAGTTTGAATAAGATTATATGACGATGATAATGATGATAATTATTTATGCTCATTATATTTTTTCGATTTAACCGGGTCACCAATTTTATAATGTCCCAAGACACGAGTGTTTGGTGGTTTTTTTTGCAGTAGTAGATACCTTAATTCATTTTTAATTCAATTGGATGATAATGAATGTGATCATATGTAGATTAGTATTTCTAAAATTAATATATTTTATATTATTTTATTAGTTATATGAAGAATATTTTATATTACTATGATGTAATTATGAATTACCAATATCCATAAGTTTGATATTTTAAAAATTTAAGCACTTTTTGGCTTTTTCATTGTTTTTGGCCTTTTTTTTTTTTTTTTTTAATTCAATGAGAATAAGGAGTCGTTAGATAAGAAATGAAGCTCCGACCTTGGAAGTGCAACTATCACGACCCAGCCCCATTCTCGTTTCCTCATTATGAAGTTGCTCAATAAAATCATTCGTCCCATATCTTTGTGATAGGGGACAGTTTCGTAATTAATACGTGGACTAACGGCGTTCAACGAAGCGACAAACCACGATTGGCGTAACGGACCCAATTAATTGAGACGATTGGTGTAACGGACCCAATTAATTGAGACGATTCGTGTAGCGGATCCAATTAATTGAAAAAAAAAAAAAAAAATTATGACGAGATGAACCCGAAAAAAATACTGAAAATAAATAAAATGCAAAACAGAAAAGGTGCTAGGTAAAATAACAACTATACAAAACTTGAAAAGCGAAAAAGAGAAAACCAAAAGTAGGGTTTAGTAGGGGTTAAGAATACTGACCCAAAGCAGTGCTACCATGTCTGAATCCGCAATCCTCTCCTCCTCAGCCATCCCCAACATCAAACTCAAAAAATCATCCCTCCCTTGAAAACCCTCCTTCCTCCTCTCCTCCACCAAACCCCCAACAAAAGCCCTAACTTTTCCAGCCAAAACCTCACTTCTCTTCCCAATCCCCCAAAAATCCGGCCACCAACCGGCCGGAAAATAGTCCCCCCAATCAAACCCTCCCAAAATCTCATACCCCTCTCTCACCATGACCCCAAGCTCCTCTTTATCTCTGCTATTCAATTCTCCGAACACCGATCCTGCAATACTATTGCGCGCGGCCTTCTGCAACGCGCCCCGGAATTGGACGGCGCCCGCACGGCACATCTCAACTTCTCTGAGCACGTCTGAGATGCAGGCCTGCCGGCAGGCCTCTTGCGCGGCAAGTCTCCTTGGGGCAAACAAACACATGGCAGCGGCACGGCGCAAGGAGCGCCAGTACTCCCCGTGAGGCGAGAACCCGATGGCGCGCTCGAACATGAGCAGCCTTGCGGCTCTTTTGACAGGCCTGTCGACAAAAGCCGGGCTCGACAGGATTTCACGAGCGGTGTCAGGGTGCGAGGCTATGATCACAGGAGTGAAGCCAAGAGACAGAGCCATGAGTTTCAAGGACCGGAAGCGACTGGAAATGCGAGCAAGGTTGCGGTGAGCGAGAGAACCCATGAGCGGGAGGCTACCGACGACGGGATAGCCGGCAGGGCCAGGGATACGGGACGGGTTTCGGTGACCACACCAGGCATGGCCGCCAGGCACAAGCCAGGTGCTCAGAAACCATGTCAGGAGGATAAAACTGAGGAGTAAGAGGAGTTGGAGGTTCAGGCATTGCTGGGATGTTATTATAGCCAGGAAAAAGAGGAGACCTGTTGTTTGAATTGCCATTAAAATACCTTTACTAGAAATACAAAGTAAAGGAGGAAGGTTAAGAGATCAAATTACACACTTTTTGTATTCTTGTTAGAAGAAAAAAACTGCCATATATCACCACCAAGTTGTTCTTGGCCTAAAATATCACTATGGTCGAGAACCAGAGCTTAGCCTCAAGAACAACAAGAAGTGCAAGCAAGACTGGCGTAAAATATGAACAAGGATTGAAATTAGAGCTTGATATTTTGCTAGTAAAGTGCTAAAGAAACAAGAGAGAGAGAGAGAGAGAGAGGGATAATTGCTTGATATTTTGCAAGTAAAGGGCTAAAAAACCAAAAGAGAGAGAGAGAGTAAGAAGACGACAGGCTCTACTATAATTCTTACAAAAGAAGCCACCTACTAGAAATGAGAAACTAAGCAGTGGACAGGTAAAAACCAGAGGAAACCAACTATGTGCTTTGCCTCTAGAGAGAGAAAGAAGCAACCATAAAAGACAGAACCTCTGTGTAATACATGGCCATTAAAGAGCTTAAAAGACTAAGCAACTAGAGAGATGACAAAAGAGGCCAAGAAATTTAGAGGGCTCATCTAATTGAACCTGAAAAAGCTAGAGTGAGAGAGCAAAAAAAAAAAAAAGTAGAGAGAGAAAGCTAGAGAGAGAGCCCAAAGCAAGTAAGAAAAAGAGAGCAAGTGTCGAATGGTGGCATGGCCGGATCGGGACGATATATATAAACCTTGGGTGCGAGGTTAATAACCGAGAGTTAAGGGTCTCACACTAACCGTGGTTCATTGACGCACGTGCCACGATTAGGGATCTCACGTGTGAGGGGCCGCCCCCATTAACGAATCGGGTGATATACTGTCGGTTAGTTGTAACGGAACGGAGGTAGCCTTGGTCTTACAGGTGGGCCCCCGCCATACGGTCAGAGACAGCAGGTAGGCGGCTTACACGTGTTGATGTGACGTGGCCCCGACGCGACCTGTCCTCGTTGGGGGATGCGCACGTGTCAGTTGTCTTGAGGCTGGGGCCCGCTCTTGGATTCGGCCTAGTGGTGCGCCTCCGAACAGCAGGTGACTGCTGGTCCGTACATTCCCAGGTGGAATCGGGCGTGGTGGTGGCCCATGCAGCGTCCCACGTGGCGAGGCGTATCAGTAGTTTTACCCCTTTCTTTTTTATATTTCCATCCATATCGTGGTTTGAACTGTGCACCAAGGTTCAAGAACAAAGTCAGGTGACCTGGATCGCCTTTCAAGAAATCTGTATGGATGTCCGTTCTAGAAAACTAGCAAATAAAAATATTTAAAAATAAAGTATGACTGATTTCAATATATCATAGAATAGGCTAAAACCAACCTATTCTCAAAGAGAACCAGCTAGTTCTCAATATTTAGACAGAACTCGACCAGTCCTGACAGTACCAATCAATTCCAGTCCAGTCCAGATCACCAATTTTTAAAACCTTGGTTTGAACTATAAAAAAAAAAAAAAAACTATAGATTTAAGTATGGTACAACTTTGTAGTGGTATTAGTAGAAGAGGCGGCTAAGCAATTCCCCTCCCAAACATGGGTGCAAAATCAATTATTACATGAAATTCCATCCCTTTTGGGTGGAACCATGAGCTTTCATGAATCATTGTTAGCGAATGACTAGTCATGATGAATAGGTGAGAGCAGGGTTAAGAAGTTACTGATTTGGATTGGAAGCGGATGATCTCGATCGGAAATCGTCCCACTTGAACCGATTCTCACAACATATCGGGAACTGATCATCCCCCCTTCTCCCCTTCTCAGAATCGGCGATTCCACTATTCAGGAACCAAAAATGCATTGAGTCGCGAGTTTTCAAGCTTTCGATCCACTTTCATCACCTTTTTCAGAGAATTATTGCTCTGAAATGATTGAAAATTGCTTGCAAAACCAATATTCAATTGAATACACATTTGGAACTTTTTTGTCCCTGAGTTATGACGAGTGTCATTGAAAATTGCTTGTAAAACCAGTTTTCAAGCTTTCGATTCATTTGGATGAGTAGAGAGAACTGATAAACCCAAATTAAGTTACGACGCGCACCAAATTGGGTAAGCACAGTATTAGTGTGGGTAATGGTTTGAATGGCATTTTGGTTTTAGTGATTAGTATACTTGTTCAAGAAAATGTTACATGGATACCTGACCTCACATCGATCGAGAGAGAGCATCGTCATCTTTTATTTAGTATTAGATTGTATTTCATTTGTTGCATGCTCCATTTTGAACGATGCATTCATATCTATTGTGATTGTAAGCTCTTTGTTTTTCAATGATGTAAATATAATGGTCAATAGACATACAGTTAGGGGAGCAACACTTCAATAGTCATGTATTTTTGTAAGATAATGAAAGATATATAATGCATCACCCCCTTTTTTTATTTTTTAGAAACTAAAAAAATACAATTTTTAGGGATTTTTAGTAATTTGTTTGAAAATTGTTTTAGGCAAAAAACCAGTCAATGTAGTTGATTTTCCGATCCAGATTACCGATCCAACCTGATTTTTAGGCGGTTGATTTGGGCCACCTATCTAATTTTTTAGATCTTGGGTGAGAGCTCTTAATGAATTCGGACAAGGGGGTAGAATCAACGAGGACATAGGGATCGAATTGACGAGTTTGTTCAGCTGACCCATCCAAATTAAAAAGAAAAACAGATGAAAAAAGATGTAAATAGGGAACCAAGCCATTTTAAGAAAAATCGAGAATCAAATCAAGCAAATTGAATCAAAATAAATTGGACAGTTGAGATGGATCCAATCACAATTCATGCCTTTACACTGCTTTATTTTAAATTTTTTACAAAAATTTTGACACCAAATTTTGGTCATTTTATTTTTTTAAAATATTTGTTAAATTTTTTTTAGGTGCATCCTATTGAGATGATGACACATATTGAATTTTATATATTTGTATATATTGAGATGATGACACATATTGAATTTTATATATTTTATATATTTGTAAAAAACAAATTAAAAATAAAATATTCTGAGGTATCGGATCTAGATCGAATAGTCAATGATTCACTTGATCTAAATTGAATGGCTGGATGGAGAGCAGTATATAACTTATACACAGTAGAAAAAATATAAAAAGCTTTCCTTAAACATAAATGACAAAAATTGGGTAGAATTTTATATATTACTTTTGAGGGGGATATGAGCATAAATTTATGCACCTTTTATAAAAGTGCTTTGAAGAACAAACGAAGAGCAAATTAAAATTTGGAGAGTGACTGATGAAACATTCAGCCGTAACTAGATTGGTCATAGTATTATTATTGTAGCTCTACACCCAAGTTTGAATTTAATGAAAAAGAGGTTTGAATTCCATCACTGAGTGAGAGGAACAAGTTTGAATTCTTTCACGAAGAAAGAGAGAGAGAAGTTTGAATCGATCACTGAGAGAGATATCTTATATCCGAACTATGAATCTGACCGTTGACATATAGAGAGAGAGAGAGTTATATCTAAAGTTTGAATATGGAGCAGTGACAGTGGGACTCTACATCCCAAATATGAATCCAATCATTGAGAGAGACATGAACGGGACATGCTCTAATAAGCCAAGAATGGTAGTACAAGTAAGAGAAAATGACTTTTAAATTATTTCATATAGGGGTTAAAATATTATTTTTGATACAAGAAGGTCGTAATCTCTCTTAACCATCAATATGATATGGGGCAATTTGGGCTGGGCTGTATCATAAAGTTTAAAAAGCTTTCTTTATAATTTTGAGTTTAGGCAAGAACATATAACTAGTTCTCCAATTTCACTTCCAACAGCTAAAAATGATTATAAGTCCTTCCACCAAATGTAAATACTCTTATTGCATTCCTTTTTAAAAAAGCTCTATCTTGTAGCTCCCCAATTTCACTTCCAACAATAAAGAGTGATTATGACTCCTTGCATCAAATATAAATACTTTTGTTCTATTCCTTTTTTAAAAATCCTTTCAAGAGTATTCTGAATAATGATATATAATGGCTTTATTTCATTTCTTTAAAAAACAAATTCTTTTAAGATACTTCTGAAAAATATATACTTTAAAATGTTTCTGGGAAAGCATTTCTAGTGAAGGGCGTTTTAAATAAAGAATTTCTAATCGGCGAATTAGAAATGCACGATACCCTTTTTCAACTAAAGCCAAAAATGTAATTCTTAACTGAGTTTTTTTTTTTTTCTTTTTTTTTTGCTGTTCTCGCCTAAGAAGCTTTGTGACAAGACTTCATTTGAGATATGATCAAGGATACAAATTTTCTTTCAACTCTAATTTGGAATATCTGCTCTTATTTGGAAAACAAAAGGTTTGTAGCGGATAAGTAAGATATCTCATATATGTCCTTCCTACCAATCCACCATTTTCTCCCTCTACCTCTCTGTCTCAATCAACTCTATTTTACTCTCATTTCAAACAATTCCCAACACCTATACCCCTTTTCTTTGTCAACAATATCGACTCTCCACCACCGCAACCCTCACTACTTCTCCCAAATCAACTCACAACACCCTGGTAGTATTTTTGGTTTAAAAGATACTTGCGTGTATTTCAAAACAACAATATAGTTTTGTAGTTTTTTCTAAACTGTTTTTTGTAAAAAGAGAAAGCTGTGGTTTTTTATCCCAGGTTGAAGAAGAGAGAGTTAATTGAATATTAGTTAAGAGTAAGCATTCTCATACCTTATAGTTTTAGTACAAAGTTGAGAGAGATAATACATGTGCGGAGCATGCAAAACGCCCGTGCATGCGTGTGTGCGAGGGCGTGGGGGCAAGAGCGCTGGACGGTGCATTTTGTATTGTAGCTTGTAGCAGTTTGGAGGTGCATGTAACCGCCACTACGCTAAATGAGTAAGTGCATGTAACTTGTGATGTTGGTGATGTATGTAACCACCACTACACTAAATGGCTTGTAGCGGTTTCGTGGTGCATGTAATTGCCACTACACTAAATGAGCAAGTGCATGTAACTTGTGATGTTGGTGATGTATGTAACCACCGCTACATTAAATGACAGCCTCTTGGTGCTTTATATAAGGCACCCTTGTTCCCATACGAGAAAATAACCTCTACAAATACTTGCAATACCTTTCTATGTGAAATTCTAGGGAGCATATTTGTGAACTCAACTCTGTATCTCTCTCTCTCTCTAAAACATCACGACTCTAGTAACTACACTAAATGGGCAGCATCTTGGTGCTCTATATAAGGGGCCCTTGTTCCCATAAGATAAAATATATTTGAGCCCCTCTACAAACACTTGCACACCTTTCTCTGTGAAATTCCGGGGAGTATATTTGTGAACTCAAGTGTGTGGGTTCCAAGTTCGGGTGCATAGAGCTTTGGAATATAAAAAGAGAGCTCTTTGTTTTCAGGTATCTTAAGGACGAATTACCATTCTTATGCATGCCAAAACAATATGGAAGGGGACAAATATCGTCTTGAAATAGCGCTCTTGTGTGCCCAAAAACAAAAGGGATCAATCTTCAAATTTATGAAATTGTACTTCTTTTTGTCTTTATTTTCACCTACCAATTTTCCAATAATTCAAGAAGAAATTTTATGAGTGAAAACAAGAAAACTGTCATGACTTCTTTGAAAGTCATGAACCACGATTTCACAAGACTCGAGCACTTCAACGGGTTGAAT